GGAAGGGATGTTATTAGTATTATCAGAAAATAACAAGAGAGATCTGAAAGGAGAAGGAAATCAAAATTTTTATAACTCCACCAACAAACTTGTTCCTCTCTTCCTCCTTCAGATCGAAAACCCTAATTTCTGTTCTTTAAGGTGACAATTCCCTCGATTTTTGAACTGTTCCTCGAGATCTCCCTCTGTTTTCCCCCAAATTTTTATCAAAATCTCATCGATCTTTGCGTCAGGATCTGGCGAAGTTTCCTCTTCGTAATCGGCGATTTCGGAATGTCATGCGTTAATGGATTCAAAGCATTGATTTGAAGCAGTTAGGGGACAATTCCCCTTTGCGAGATTTCGAGTATTTTCAATGGCATCAGCTCAGGTTAAGCCTAGTTCGCGTAGGCAGGAGGTCGCCGAAGCTGGACGGCGTAAGGTAGAATTTTGTTCGATTTCCTCATTGATCCTCTTTGTCTGGGTTTATCTGATCATTGGTCATTAAATTTGTTCATGATATGAGAATTGAGATTGATGTTCTTATACATGCAATCAGAACAATATTCTGGTCTCCGTCTCTTAGTCTGATCTTACATTAAGTTATCTGTCGCAGAGATTTTCGATAAAGGATGATTCTTACGTGTATGATTATGAACACGAAATCATTATTAAGTGTCTGAATTGTGTCTTCTTTTGTTAACTTCTGGATCCAGCTTGAGCAGTTCCGGAAGCAAAAAGCAGCAGAACGAGCCAAAAAGGCATCGCAGAGTAGCAGCACACAGCCTGTTGATAACAGCGTTTCAGATTCAGATGGAGCTGTTGTATCCATGTCTAATGGACCTCTCAGTCAATCTGCTGAAACTCATCAAGTTCCCTCGAATGAAACCCATACCGAATCCTCATTTTCTGGAGATGTATATAATTTATCGTTTTCGAATATAGCTTCGAATGATGGAAGCAGAGAAACAAGTAGAAAAGATGATGGTCAGAAGTCAGTGGGCACAGTCGATTTTTCTAGTAGCTTAGAGTTGATAGGTTCTTCAAAGAACTTAACGGTGAATAATAGGCCTCACGTTGTACCTTATAGCAATATAGACATGCAAGCTAGTGGGAATTTCGATCGTGCTTCTACTTTAAGAGAAAGTGATGGTGCTCCTAAAGGCACTTCTTTTTTTTCTGGAAGCACTCTCCAATCGACTTCGATGCAAATGGACGGTTTCATTCATGGCAGTGGATTAATCTCATCTAGAAAAGGTATGTGACTATCATATGAGGTTGATGAAGTGATGTATTTTGTCGTCATATCCCTTCTTCTTTTCAGTTTTGCCATGGGAATAACCTAATCAATCTTTACGGTTTTTGTTGCAAGACTCTCTACAACCTACTACCAGGATGGCTGGGTCTATTCACGAAGTTGCTAAAAGCCAACAGGGAAGTGGTGAACTCAGAGGAGGCAGCATTGTGCAGAAGCCAACTATGTCTAGCAGTTATTTGTTTAGCTCTCCGGACACATCATCTCAACCTTCTTATGAATCTTCAGATTTCAGTGTAAATAACACAAGCTCATCGCCATTTCACTCAGCTAAAAATGAAGCAAATGTGAAGAGATCTCGTCCTTCTTTCCTTGATTCACTTAATATTTCAAGAGCTCCAGAGACTCAATATGAACACCCTGAGATTGAGGCGGATTTGGTTACATCAAGTGGTTCTCAATTAAATGGCAGTGATGATTTTGGACAATCTTCACTCCAATATATATCAGGGAAAAGAGACAGTAATGGACCGTCATTGATAAGCGGAGCATCTGTTTCTCCTTATCCATTTGAAAATTTCAGGAGTCCTTTGTACCCTGTTGCCAATGGAGTAAGGCCAGGTTTCACTGATTACTCCATGCCAAAACAAAATGATGATTTTAGTACTCTCGAACAGGTAATACACTTATTTCTTGCTTTGTTTTGTAAATGTATTGTCGATATGCTACTTAATAAGTTAATAGTTGAACTTTCTGTTTGATTTTGAGATGAGAATTATCAAGAAATGGTATTATGTTCTTATTTAGAAGAATTAAGTGT